AATTATTTAGGCCCCTATATTATATGCGGTGGTTTTGACGTTGAGGGTTTAGGGTTTAGGGGTGAATCTGGACGACGTTTGCGGGTTGGTTTCGGGGTGTACACGTAAGACTCCATGTGCAAATGCTGGCTTTTACGGTCTTGCTTGAAAGGGGTAGAGGGTGTTTTCACGGGGTGTATGGGGCTTTGTAGTCATCAGTGGATTTCTCACAGGATATCTGGCGACGGACAGCAAAAGCTCACCCCTTCTTTTCACCTAGAAAGCATCCTAAAGACGAAGCCGTAGACTCTAAACCCCACAGCCCTAAGGCCTAAGTCGCCAACTCCCTACCCGAGGCCGTACAGATCCCTACAACCGCCACAAGTCAGATTTTTGTTCTAAAGCCTGAACAGAACCTCTGTAGAACCCCCGCGGCGGAGACCTTTGTAAAGCCCCTAAGCCCTAAGCATCACCAAACCCTAAACTCTAAACGCCAAGCACAAAATCCGAAGTTTTCAATTGCTAACCCCCTCCCCTCCTTCGATGAAAACCCGAAACCCTAAACGCGGTAAAGACCAGACGTAGCCTCGAGCTTCGTGAGACGAGGCACAGTCCTACGACATCTGCCAGCAGTGTTTTCAAATGGCTGGAGGCGAAAACTTAGTAGCTGAGTGGGTAACCGTTCACCTTTCAGGGTTTTATATGGGGTTTATATATGTCCTATCATAGTTGACAAGGTTAACCTTACTTGGGCTCGGGTACTTAGCCGTAAGGAACGAGGCTTCTCTAAGTTTAAGGGGTGTTATACAAAGGGGTCTGCAAGGGTTGCAGTTGCTTCTTTAAAAGAGTTTCTGTAAGGGCTTTGGGTTTGGGTTTAGGGTGCATCTAGCTAGGGTCTTATAGTGGCCGCCTTTCACTTCGCCTTTTTTGGTCCCCAGGGTTGTCCCGATTTTCTGGCTTCAAAACCAAATATCGTCCGGCACTTAGTCCCGCACTTTGTCCCGGTTCAAGGCCCAGTCTTCGTATGAAACAGGTTCCTCCAAGCTTTAAGGGGTGTGACAAGGGTTCGATTAGCCCTGGACCCTAAACCCTAAACCCTAAAGAGGGTGTCGTGCAACAAAAGCGCGACTGCTAGGGCTTTCAGTGTTTAGAGCTTTTGGCCCCCGGTTCGGTAGAATTCCCTTGCGCAGTCCTTCAAGGGCTCTATGAGGATTCCTGTAATGCCCTAAACCCTAAACCCTAAACCCAACACCCAAAACCCCTAAACCCTCAACCCTTAAACCCCAAGCCCTACATCCTAAACCGATCTATAGGAGTTTCAGGGCTTTGGGTTTCGATTCCCTGTTGCGGCTCTATGAGTCTAAAGCGAAGAGATTTGTCAATATTCAGGCCTAAGGGCGCTGGGCTGTTGCATGTTGCATATAATATATTATAGCCCTGACGTCGTTCTGCCCTAATCAAAGGGTGTTGGGATGTTCGCATAATGGGACCATAAGACGCGCTGAATAGACTTGAACCCCAAAACACCGAGATGCTAGACCTACTACCCTAGGTTTAGGGTTTTGAAGAGTTGGGGGGGGGGGGGGTGTCGGCGCTTTACGCGTTTCAGCTTTAGTTTTTAGGGCGCAGTTTTCGGTGTAGGGTCTATGGGGTATCCTATATCATACCGTGGACCCTATAGAGTACTATAAGTGATAGCACCATACAGCACCCTGTAAGGCCCTAAACCTTGCGAGCGGCCAGGGGCAGCTGGGAACGGCCAATTGAATGGCCACACGGCGCCGAGTTATGCGAGCGGCCAGGGGCAGCCTGTGGGAACGGCCAAGTGAATGGCCACACGGCGCCGAGTTAAAACACCCGAAGCCAGAGACTGTAGGGTTGATGAGGTAGGCTCCGAAGCTCTACATCCCGTAACACAGGCACGCCCCCTTAAGCGCCTGAAGCCCAAAACCCGGACTCGAAACCAACACCTGAATCTCTAAACCCGAAGCATCGCCGAAGCATTCATTCAGCGGTTTAGGGTTAGGGCTTTTGGTGACATCAAGAGAGGAAACCCTATGTAGAGGTTTTTTACTTCGGAAAAACGTACACTGACAGTCTGCATCTAGCTAGACCATCTTTTTCGTATTCCTATGACTATGATGATGCTATAGTGAGGCTCTGGCAGAATCCCCCCATAAAGGAAGCAGCCCGAAGCGTTGACGTCCCGGCTTGAAGCGACGTCGAACCAAAGCCCTGATCTGGGTTGTAGCAAGGAGGTTTCATGTTTGCACAGAGCCGGGTTGCAGTGGGTTTATAGGGCTTACGGCTTAGGGTACAGA